GGGGAGGGGGGGCGGGCAAAGGTGATGCAGCGGGTGCAACAACAAACAGTGGGCACCAGTGGTGTTGATTAATACCATGCAATGGTCGCAGCTTGCAACGCGTCGAGAAGTGCACGTGCATGCAACTGGTGACTTCATTTTAAACGCTCACATAGAGCCCAAAGTAGAGACCCTTGTCTGATGATTGGGAGCCGAGCGCGACCACGAGCGAGGCGAGTGCGCAAGGCCGGTGCGGGGCCGAGGGGGTGAGGCAGGGGGTGCGTGTCAAGAGCTATCAAACTGAGAGCTTTGGGCGAAAATGGGCACAAAACTTCCGTGCGTCCAGCGCCGGCGCGTGCACTACTCGAGGCAAGCCAAGCAGTGGGCGCTGCAACACGAGTGCAAAGTTCACTCACAAACAGCTGTTGAGGCGACGGCAACGCCAAAGCCGCGGTAGGCGGAGAGCAGGCCCTCGCGTCGCACCGCCTGCAGCCACGCTGCCCGCATTGCTGGTGGGCAAGGAGGATGAAAGGCACAAGGTCGTTCGTTACTACCCATGACAGAATGTTGGGGTGCGAACCGACTATTGCCACTGCGATGGCTGTGGTGTAATTCATCACACGCTTCCAGAATGTTCGCATGCAAATCGGCCGCGCGCGTGCTCACTGTTGCCATACTGGCGGGAGCTGTCGCCGCCCACATCGGCTGCCATGCTGTGTGGAGGGAAAAAGGGTGGTGATTCCAAGAGGTGTGCTGGGTTGGTGGAGGCCTTGCCTGCTGCGTGCACAGCGCATGCTCCCAACCTAGCCTTCAAACAACAGCCCGCCCACCGTACTGTTGCGAATTCGAAAGGGTACACGAGTGCCAGCGACACCGCTCCCGCCACGCCGCCAGCTCCTGCATTGACTGCCAGCGCGCTCAAGCCTGTGCTGTGGGAAAGCCTGAAGCACCGGCAACAGGCCAGAGCGGCACGCCGAGGTGGGACCAGCAGCTTCGCTCTCATGTCATGGGCACACTCAATCACATTGACAGCAAATCGCAGGGGTGTGAGGAGATCGTGCAAGAATATGCCCTCACGCCAACGAATGTAGGATGCAGAGAGGCAAGCGTGGCGTGACAGCGTCTACCCTCCTGTCTGGCATGGCCCACCTCGGCAGCAGCGCATCGCGCAGCGCGTCCTTGAAGGTGAAGCTGAGGGCGACACTGGGCACGTGGCGCAGCAGGTACGGCGTGTTGCCCCGCCACAGGCCGGCCGGGCCCTGTTCCTTCAGGAGTCGGCTGAAAGACTGCGCAAACGCGTAGCGCTTGACCTTGCCTGCGAGCGCGTTGGAGAGGGGCAAGCACAGCGCGGAGTATAGTGGGGATGAGGTCGGGGCGCTGCATGTACAGACCAGTTGCAAGCAGGTCACGGGTGCGCGCCTCCAGCAGGGCGCATCATCAGCCGTGGAACACACCCGAGAGAATGGCGGGGTTGGCATCCTGAGTTTGCAGCAACACCTTGACCCTGCGTTGCACACAGCAGACGTGCAGCTGATTCGAGGTGGTGGGGCCGAGAGCGACCCGTGGCGGCATGATGGTGACCCCATGAACGGCAGCAGGCCGGTGTACACGTATTTACCTGTGTACAGGGTAGGTGGCTGAGGTGTACAGCGCGCTTGTAAGCAGCCCAGCCATCAGGCTTGCCATCGACATGCCTCCAGCCAGCTGGCTGCCCACCGCCATTCCAGGCGAGGTGGCAGCAGTGCCGTCGCCAGCGTCCTCGGATGCCATGACGGCCCAGCAAGTGCATGCGCCGCGGCGACAGCTGCCTGGTCGCTGTGGCGCTCCGCAGCGGACTGGGGTTGGAGATGGACAATCGGGTGACGACGCGCCGCACAGGGTGCGCCCCGCCGACGCACACCACGGCTCCTTCGCGCGGCGTTCTAGGCTGCAATGCACCAGCACGCGTCCCTTTGTGCTGAGAGTGCACGCGTTGGGCCGTCCTCGCGTGCTGTCTGCAACACCGCGGTCATAAAAGTGTGACGCAGCCCTCTAGACAGGACTACCGGTACGGTGCGATGTCATTAGTAAACCGAGACTATATGGTTGATATGCTATCAGGGCATCGTTTCTTGCGAAGCAGATCAAGCGGCAACCATCTTCGCTGACAGTGCCAAAGCACCCGCCAGCAATACCATACTCAGCACACATATGAAGCTCGCGATGGTTTCACTCATGGCAGCGCTGCGTTTGTGCGCGCTGCTGCTGCTGGTGGGGGTGGCGACGGCGAGCGCATCGCCCCCGTGGGAGCCGAGTACATTTCCCAATCCGCAGAGGGACACAAGCGCATGCGGCAGGCGTGGCGTCAAGTCGTTCATATGTGATCCAGGTGGGAGATTTACACAGCCGTGAGGCATGCACTGCGGCGCCCGCTAGCGAGCACGACAGCGAGACAAGGTGTCTGCGCAGCGCTTACATCAGCGATGCGCATGCATACCGAATGCATGCGCACACCTGGCCTACTGCAGAGGCTTGTCGCATACATATCATCCCTCCTTCGTTTACGATCAACGTACCCTCTTTCACCCTGCCAGATGGCTTGCTGTCGTATGACAGTGCCAACCTGGTGGAAGGGCTCATCCAACAGGTGGAGCGCGGTGAGGAGCCCTATGTGCGAGCGCCCTGCGGGGACCAGGGCGACCAGGGCTTCCAGGTGGCCGTGGCTCTCATGCGCCGCTTTCAGGTGGAGGAATCAGAGGATGCCGGCGCGGCTGCGGCGCGGTTTGCGCGAGAGCTGCACGCGGCCTGGGGCGTGGGCAGCGCAGCCTGCAACAACGGCGTCCTGCTGCTGCTGAGTGCGGACGACCGCCAGGTGTTCATCAGCACTGGATCAGGCAGCGAAGCGCGGCTCCCGCGGGCCACGCTCTTGAATATTATGGCCAACATGAAGCCCGCTCTCAAGGAGCGCCGTTACGACACCGCCGTGCTGGAGGCCGTGCATGAAATCGGGCTCGCTCTGGCAGGGGCAGACGTCCCAGCCAGCGCCAGCGACAGAGACGGGATTTGGATCTTCAGCTTCTTTGCAACTGTGGTGGCTGGGGTGTTTATCCGGTCGTGGCTCAGCAACCGCCGCCAGATGCGGCGCTACAAGGTGGGTTAGCGGCTGGCCCGCTCACGGTGTGCTGCAGCTGTGGGGCATGCGGTACATTTGACGATGGGGCTGTGTGTCATACGGTATCGAGAACCAACCAACTGCACTCGTGATGCTTCCAGTCATGTTTTGTTCATCTGCCCACCTCGTCATGCCAGGCTGCCTTGCCTCTGCATCCTCATCACCACCATGCCTCTCCCCCTGCGCTCCCCCCCCCCGCCCTCCACTTCAGGCCTGCCAGGACAAGCTGGACGCCCTGAAGCGCGACCAGGCCGCGGTCAGGCGCGGTCAGTACGCCTCAGTCAGTTGCCCCATTTGCCTGGACGACTTTGATGAGGCCACACTCAAAGGCGGCAGCAGTGGGAGCAGCGGCAGTTGCAGCAAGGGCAACGCCAGGATTGGCAGCAGCAGGGCAGCAGAAGTGCCCAGCGGTAGCGTACGCAGGAACAGCGGTGCTGAGGTGAGATTGCGCAAGGTGGGTGGACACGCCACGTGAACAGGCCGTCTGTTTCGTATCGCTGTGGTTGTAATACTGATGCGTTGGGGTGATGTTGCTCGTAACCTGAGGGTTTCACCGTCGCCATCACATCCCATTCTCCTCCACCTCGCGTCTGCTCCGCACGCAGCCCGCGGGCGAGACTGTGCCCCTGCTGGCGAGCCGAGATGAGGCCGCCGCCATCACTTCGGGTGAAGGCGGCAAGCGGCCCCTGGCCTTGCGCTGCGGCCACGCGTTCTGCGCGCCCTGCATATCTGAGTGGGTCAAGGGCCATACCACCTGCCCTGTGTGCCGACGCGACATTGATGCAGACGTTGACGCAGCGGCGGCGGCCCCGGCAAGCCGCCCGCCCTGCACGGCTGACGATGCCACCCAGCAGCAGCGTACGCACGCCCCGCCACCATGGGAACAGCGTGATGTGTGGTTGCCTGAGCTGATGTTTCGTGCGCAGCGGCTGCAGCTGCTGTATCCCGACCTGGTGAGCAACACCATGGCCGCCCAGTTTCAGCAGGACCTGCAGGAGGACAGGGAGCTTTGCCCAGATGCACTGGCCGCGTTTGAGGCACGCCACCCAGCACGCGATGCAGAGCGTCGCGCAGAGCTGCGCGACTCGGGACGTATGGGTGCCAGCAACTCGTTCGGCGGCGGCAGCGGCGGCTTTGGCGCCGGCACAAGCTGGTAGCTGTTTTGTAGTCTTCATGTTGCTGGTGTACATCCGTATGTTTGCATCGGTCGTTTCCATAGATCTGCCTTGGTTTGACATGTTGTGCACCTTGCAAGCTGTCGTGATATAGGCATTCAACAGCCGACTGGCATGCAAACGCATGTGGGCGCCCCCTGCCGTCAGCGCAGGTGCATTCGTGAAGTGCAATCTTCGCTTGCAATTTCAAAAGTTTATTCAAGGTTGTCCTGATTGCGGTGTTGGCTCCTGACTCTCAGACTCTGCCTGGCAGCAGGCTGACGCAGCATGGCGGCTAGGGGGCTTGCCTGCAGTACCTCCCGATGCAGACCAGTGACCGTCCCGTTCAGCAGTGGCAGGTTGAAAACACTTTCGAACCATCATCCAACCATCATCCACATATTAAAGTATCTGAACCGCAGCCTCGTCCAGCAAGGCTCGCATTTGCTCTTACGCCGAACGCCCTCAGTGGCGTGAGAGTTCTGGCCTTGCTCGTCCTCAAGCGCGACGTAATGACACATCGTCTTACATACCTCTACACCTAGGTGCGTGTGGTTTGCAAAGCAGGTGGGACCTGGGACTGTGCAAAGGCTTCTTTTTCGCTCGTGCACAGCGCTCTGAGCGAGCTCTCCAGAAAGGCAATCATGCAATTGTGACAGCGCGCTTTGACGTGCTGATACCGCCACCAGCCCTTCTGCCCGCTGCTGCCCGCTCCGCTCTTCGCTCACGCTGGCCTCCGCACGCCTGCGCACGTGCGCACAGGCCGGGCCTCGCTGAGTGTGGGGTGAAGTGAGCGCGCAATGCTGCGGCACGCTGGTGGCTACGCGGCGCTGCCGGGCGATGATGGCGAGCAATTGTGCCCAGCTCAAGATCCTGTCGCTCGGGCTCACCGAGGAAGCCGTGGGGCCAGCAGCACCAGCCGTGGAGGGTCTCCGCCGGCGGCGGAAGCAGCGCCCGGAACTGCCGATGGGGGAGCGTGTGGGGTGCAGCTGGGGCTGTGCCAACCAGGGGGTGTAGCCACCGACAGGGCAGACGCCATGCCCTTGAGTGCGGCAGCGCCCACAGTTGCTGGATGGGCACAGCGTGCTGTGGCTTCAGCGCGGCAGCACAGGCGCTCACGCAGCGTGGGCGCATCAGCCCATTATGGTGCCCCTGTTCCTCAGCCCCTGCCAGTGTCCTATGAGCTAGGGGAGCCTGTCTACTGCAGGTGCGCATGCAGGGGCCTGCAGGCCGGGTTTCTGGCAGGTCTGTGTGCCTCTCCTTGCACAGCAGCGTCTCTAGGGGACGGGGCCGCATCAGAATCTGCACTGGACTGGGGCACTTCTTGGCAATCACAAACGGCATTGAACAATAACGCATGCCGTGCTCGCCGCTGCTCCCACCCCGACACTTGCGACCCCAGCACGGCGTCGACGTGCCCCACGGCTGATCGCCGCGACGTGGGCGGGCTCCAGGGCACCCAGCAGCCGCAAACGCTTCAGCAGCACACGTATAGACACAACGCTTCAGGGTGGCAGCTGCCCCAGCAGCGCGCGTGCCGCGCGGGCCGTCACCAGCGCAGCGCCAGCCTGGGGCTGCCAGGTGGCACCCTTGGCCCCGGCTCTGCGGCCCCGACAGTGTCAGGGCTTGGATCATGGTGGACGGGGCCCGTGGGCAGCGCGGCCGCCGCCGGCATGGGTGGCAGCCCAGCAGTGTTGCTGCAGTTGGCGGCTTCGGGCGGGGGCGGCGTCTTTGGCGGTGCGCTGGGCAGCCTCGTTGCTGAGTCACTGGGCAGCCGGCGGCCCTCCTTCCTGTGCCTCGACACCGGGACTGCGGGGGGCCGCGCCATACAACACAGCCGCGCCCCCAGCTTTGCTGCCAGCAGCGCGGGCTCGTCTCAGGTGTGCCTCATCTGCCTGGACGCGCTGGCCCCTGAGGACTTCGACAGTGGGGAGGCCCTCGCCCAGGCGTGCGCCTGCAAGGGCGACGTGGCGCTGCGCCACAAACGCTGCGCCGTGCAGTGGAGCCTGGTCAAGCGCTCCACCGTGTGTGACGTCTGCCGCCGCCCCATCACCAACCTGCCCGACCTGCCGCCGCCCGAGCCCCCCGCCGCTGGCGCCGACGGCGAGGTGTGGGACCCCCTGGCCCTGGGCCAGCCCCTGGGCCTGGGGGACTACCTCGTGGACTGCGTGCGCGTGGCGTGGATGGCGCTAGTTGTGGGCATACTGGTGTTTGACATGTCGGTGTCGCGCGCGGCCGTAACAGGCGCTGTCATCGGCGTCGTCCTCACCGCCGCCGCACATGCCCTCGTTCTGGCGCAGCGCAGCGCCGCGGCCGTGCGCACGTTCGCTGCGGCGCTGCGCGAGCGCGCCTGGGTTCAGGGGCAGCATCAGCAGCTTGCAGCAGCTGTGGCTGTGGCGGCGGAGGCATGGGAGCTGCCAGAGGGCGAGGTGGGCCGGGCGGCAGGGGGGGATGGGGTGGACAGCGGCAGTGGCGCCCTCCAGGAAGGCAGGGCCCCAGCACGCCCCGGTCATACCCGTGCCCCCTCCTCGACTGTCCTTCTCATCCGCGAGGAAGAGGGCGAGGCAGCCTGATGCTGCAGCTGGCATAGCGGGTGGCGCTCGCCACAGAGCGCTAATACAGCGATTTGCAGCGATCTGCGGCGGCAGGCTTTAGGGGCATGGGGATCTTGCACCTCAGCAACGCATTTGCACACACCATCGTGCCGTACAATCCCGTATGCACACCCGCTTGGTTTGCATTGCATACTCCTTAACCAACTCTGTGTCGTGTGAGATATGGCTTTTTTCTCCGCTGCATCAGTGGATTTTTGCGGATTGGATTTGGCACCTGTATCTTCAGCACACACGCATGGCATGTGCCGGCTGGCCACCTCCCTACGGCCGCCGTGGCCACTGGCGTGCTATCTACTATTCACAGTACATCAGCGCACTGGCTCGGCTCGTCTTAGGCCGGGTGAGACGTTTGCAGGGCAGCGTTTGTTGTTTTGCATTGTGTTGAAAATGCCCAAGTTTAGCCTAAACGTTCAGCCTGATCTCTGACCAGGAAAAAAGGCCGCATTTGACGGGCGTGGGGCCTTCAGAATGCACAACAGAGGAGCAGATTGTTTCTAGCGCTGTACAGTGTGCTTGTGAGTTTTTGCATCATCAATGTAACACCATGGAGTGAGGCCATTGGGCCCGGCAACCACAAGCGTTTACAGGCGCTTGGAAAAAACGAGTGACGGGTGTGCATCATGTTTCAGGTGCCTCGTACACCCATCAGCACATTGGTCACCACTCATGCTCCTTGATAACGCAAGGTCGGCTGCATGCTAATGTGCAAGTACGATATGTGCATGCTTCGTGTGCCTGCTGTCGTGTTCAGATGTTGCCTTTGTCGGGGTGTCCTCAGCAGCACACGCTGTCACCAACACCAGCACAAAATAGGAATGCCTCTCCCCGCATCCGCTGGTTGTGGGATTGATATGGGTCTGTCGCCCAAGTGCCCGCAGGCAGCCCCCTCCCCGTCACAGCCGCTACTGTCCCTTCTTCTGGATTTCCTCTGTGAGCAGCTGGTTGCGCAGCTGGTCCAGCTGTTCGTTGGCCACCTCCAAGTTGTTCTGGTACTCGCTGTACAGCACCTTCAAGAGAGGACAGGAAGCCAGGGGCGCAGGGGTCACGCAGCCGTCCGAGGCCGCCCTCCGTCGACCGACGCTGAGAGATCGGGGGGCTGAAGGTGCGCCTGACACAAGCCCTGACGTTGCAACAGCCATGCAAGCTCAAGCATCCCCGTGCAAATCTCTTCCACAACACAAATACACACGACACAGGTTCGCACACCTCAGGCTTTTGCCTCCCCTCGCGCCCCCATCTCCCCGCAGCCCCCCCCCCACCTCGTCCGCCACTGCGTCCAGGAACTCGGGGTCCTCCAGCAGGGCGTCCAGGGCCTCAGCAAGGGCCTCGGGGCTGTCGTCATACTGGGCTGCAAGGGGCAAGGAGGGGTGGGGGATGAGGGCTGAGGGCTGAGGGCCGAGGGCTGGTCAGTGGGCACAAGTGCAGGTAGCAGAGCCAGAAGCTGGCCAGGTGTGCGCTCGCCGGTAGCCGAAAACCCTTCACCCTTCATTTGCACAACAATGGCGCCCTTGCCGCCGTGCACTGCTGCCCTCCGGCAGTCTCATACTGCTGCGGTCCCATCCACTCACTCTTGTAGTACACGGTTGAAAGCCCCACACCCAGACCGGCACCCAGGAGGCCAAACAGGGCCTCACGGCGGCTGGGAGCCTGGAATCCACTCGGCTGCGGCACATGGCACAGGGCGTGGGGAACAGACATCAAGCATACGGAAGATTGCAGCTCACTCCACTCAACCATGCTCCACAGCCCACAAAGCTCGTATGCTGCGCCCAGCTCAAACGACCCAGGCGCACCTTGACCGGCGGCGGAGGGGGCGGCGGCGGCGGCGGCGGAGGCGCGCCCCAGCGTCCCGGGGGGGCATCGGGGCTGCTGCGGCGCTCTGCCTCCACATCAACGTCATAAGGCTGGGCCCTGCTTCAGCAAGGAGGGGCAGACGTCAGCCGGTAGTGGCGGGCCCGTTGCAAGCTCACGGTTTGCCCCCTAAGCGGGAGGCGGACATCAGCGACAAGGCCCTACCACCACCGCCTGCAGCGGGGCGACTGGCGGCATCTCGTCATCCACCATTTTGGGTTCCGATAACCTTAAGGCATCAACACATATCGTCAACTCTTACGCGCGCCAGCCCTGTACGCGTGGCAGCAGCAGCCGCCGCCGCCGCTGCCTGCACACGCGTTCCCGCGCACCTGACTCGCAGCTGCCGGATACCCCTTGCCATTAATTGTGGGGCTCCCTTCCCCGTGCCTGGCAGACCCAGCCTGCTGCCGCTGCTGCTGCTCGCGAGAGCCATGTTCGTTATCGTCGCACTGCCTGTCGTTTTGTAGTGAAAAACGCTTGGTGGGTGGGTATGATACATCACGCTTTGCGTGCTAACGAACGGCAATGATCACAGCCACCAGGTGCAGGAGTAACTCGTTGGTGATCTGGGGTGATACAAGTAGCCAGCCTGTTGACTCTCCTCGCAATTCTGGCTCTGATGCAATAAGCAATGTCCGAATTGGTAACAATACTATACCATGACCTATGGCGGCGCTGTAAGATTTTGTCACGCCTCGAAGTCTCACCCTTGAGAGAAGCCAGGCGTAGCGGGCCCCGTATCGTGCTGTATGTTTGCACTTCTAGCCCCTGTGGGATATCTGGCTGTTCCAGCTCGCCATTACCGCTGCCGCTGCAGCTGTCACATCGGGCCTGGCCACAGTCTGCAACAGCAGCAGCAGCAGCAGCAGGTCGCGCAGCAAGAGCAGCCGCCGCCGTTGCTGCGCCCGGCCGTGGCGCTCGACGTTGAGTTCAGCCATTACCGCAGCCCACGTGGCGCCGAGGTCGCGGTCGCTGCATGGGTGGTTTTAGTGGATGAGGGTGGGGCGGTTCTGCTGGACACGCATGTGAGGCAGGAGTGCCAGGTGCGTGCTGGCAGGATGCAGCATGGGCCTGGCAATGCATCGTCGTGGAACGACATGGCCAGGCTGGACACGCCAGCGGGTTGCAGATATGAATCCGTGCCTTGACTACATGCCCGTGCATTCAATGCCTGCCTCGCAGCTGCCCCCTGGTACAGCCTGGCGGCACTGGGGTGGAGTGTCTCCATCTGCCGCGCCCGCACGGGCCGCCGTGCTTGCATCGCTGCTTCCGCTGCTGGCAGGCCGCCTGCTAGTGGGCCATGGCGTGGCGCGTGATGCAGTGGCGCTGGGGCTGGTGCTGTTGAACTCAGGGGGCATGCCGGCACAGCCTGCAGCAGAGCAACAACGCGGGCCCCCCGCCTTCCTGCAGCTGGCTGCGGCGGGGGCGTGTTTCCCCGCGTACGACACGCGGGCTTTCCCTGGCTTCCAGGGGCGTGCGGGGTCGGCCTTCACCCTGCGGCGCCTCGCCCGCGACCACCTGGGCCGCAGCATCCAGGGGCCCCGCACCGATGCAGGCAGCAGGAGCAGCAGCAGCAGCGGCGCAGGTGGTGCCGCTGGTCCAAGCTCGCCGGTTGGGCACGTCAGCCGCCACCTCGGCGGCACTCATAACCGGCTGCAGCGGCGCGGCCGCAAGGCAGCAGCGCCCCAGCAGGCGCGCGCTGCGCCGCACGACGCAGTGGAGGACGCGCGCGCGGCGATGGACCTGTTTGTGAGGGTGGCGCGGCCGCAGCTCCTGCTCGATGCAGCCGCCGCACAGGCGGCTGGCACAGGTGCTGTCATTGGCGACGCCGCGTTTGACCGCTTGGTTGAGCTGCAGACGGCAGCGCTGCTGGCACAGATGAGAGGGGTGGCTGCGGCAGGGGGCGAATCTGACTGCGACGAGCCTTGACGAGTGACGCTTTTTCTGGCGTCAGTGCAGAACAGCTGGTGTTACACGCTCGTGCTGGATGCATACGTGCGCGGCAACAAGACTGATGGCGGGTGTTGCGTCCGCGTGCTTAGCAATGTCAGCATGCAGCTGTGTTCGACCAAGGTGCAGGGCTGTCCATCACCAGCAGGTGGGAGTACAGCACATTCATGCGACACAGCGGTCGTGACAAAGTACCCATTATTGCTCAGGGGCGAGCGCAGTGGCGCAGCCCACGTCCACGGTCCCAGGTCACTTGGCACCCCCAGAGCTGGTGCCCCAACCAAAGATGCGCGCAAACGTGCTTGTGCCTTGGCTCGCGGCAGCGGCAGCGGCCTTTTTGGCGCGCAGGCGGTGAGCGAGTGAGGGGTACTCCACCCCCGACGCGGCGGTGTCCAGCATGATGGGCCGCCCCGGGGCCGCCTGCAGCGGGAACGGCACGGCACACAGGCGTGCCCCCTTGCCGCTGCCCGTGCCCCCGTAGGCCTCCCAAGTGTCCAGCCCCTCTGACAGGTAGCGCTGGCAGAGGGAGGGGGGAGGCGGCAAGAGGGGGCGCAACACTGTAAGGGCAACACAGCGTTCAGCACCTTAGTCACAGCATTCCGCACATGCATTGAATATCAACGGTTGAAGACCAGGGAGCACGAGCAAGTGCAGGCCCCCTCCTCAAAAACACTCTCTCGCTGATGCCCACCACGGCCCGCAACGCGCTCACCGTGCCGCCGCCGGCCTGTGTGTCCAGCCCTATCCCCGCGATGCCGCGGCGTGCGTCCTCACCCGCCGCCGCTGCCTCCGCCGCCGCTTCAGCCGCTGCCACCAGCCTCCAGGCGTTGGCCTTGGCAGCAAGCGCTGACAGCCGGGGCAGGGCAGAGCGCGCGGCCGCCTCCAGCTTGGGCAGGTCCTGGGAGGGTGAATTGACCCAGGGGGTGCGTGTTACGGGCTTTGGGGGGGAGCAGGCGGCCTGGCTACGGACATCATTAAAGGAAAGGTGATGCTGGCAGCAGGACGTGAGCAGGCTACCTTGACCTGCACCAGAACAGGCGCATGGCGCACAGTGAGGATCAGTCTGCGGCCGACGCCATCTGAGGGCTGACGGACACAGAGAGGGATCCTGCACGCAGACGAGTCTGCACATACTCATCCGCCTGCCTCTTATCCCCTTCAACACAAACATACACACACCTCAAGCTTCTCCCGTGCTTCCTCCACGCGTCCCTCCGCGCAGCGGCCAAACAGCGCCGCTGCCTCTGGGCGCTTGTCCCCCGCGAGGTAGGTGTGGGCCACGTAGTAGCACCTGCGCCCAGAGGGGTGGGGGGGTTGTGAGGGTGGGCCAATGGTCGGCGTGCATTCAACAAGCCATTGCACCTTAGAGGGCCGCGCTCAACCAACACTTTCGTGCCCAATCGGCCGACACAGACTGCCCTGCGCGCTGTGGTCACGTGTCCGTCCGCTCGACCCTGCCCACCTGCCGGCGGCGTAGGCCGCGCCGCGTGCCGCCGCGACGTCGCTGAGTGCCTCTCCCTGGCGGCCCCCCATGCTTGATGCCAGCTCCCCCAGCTCCTCACAGTGGTGCATCAACGTCTGATGGCAAGGCAGGGTGCGCGCAGAGGGCGCTGACAAGTTGGCAAGCGGCGCAGGCCTGGAGGCGGGGCCGCGCCAGCCTGCAGTGCTGCCGACGTCAGGGTCGGCAGGCTTCCAAGCCACACCCGCCCTACCCTTGCCACCCACACAGCCACCACCACCACGTGCACAACGACCACACCTAAATATCAACCTGCACTCTTGGTGATCAGGCCTCTGATCCCCTATGCGTCCACTCATCTCCCACCTCGTGCATGCGCAGCAGGTCCTCTGGCTTGGCCCCGCGCTCCTGGCGCCCTGCACCACGCTTTCCTGCAGCAGCGCGCGCGTTGGCCGCCTCAAATCTCGCCTCCGCGCGCTCCACCTGATGGGCAGGGGGTCAGGGCAGTGCGATGAGCGCAGTGGCCGGGCCGCAGCCACCCAGGCTTACGAGGGCGCAGTTTCCCGCCCAGGACAGCTCCCACCAGGGGGCGGCGCTGAGCCCTTTCGCCACCACCACCGACTACCCCCCTCCCGCCAAACGCATCGTCCCGCGCAGACCCTCTGACCTGCTCCTCCCCACGCTGCAGTGTGCGCTCCAGCAGCGCCCCGCTGATGGCCTTCTCCAGCGCGGCCAGCTCCTCGAGGGCGCTCTCACCCCCTCCGTCGCCAGCTGGGGGGGGAGGTTGAGGAGGAGGAGCCCAACGGGAGGTGCCAGGTGGAAGGGGTGCATGCTGCCGTGGGCATTGCACAATTAAGTCTTACAGGAATAGCGGTGGGGGCGTCTGGCTCGTGCCACATGCAGGTACGGGCCGTACACTTGTCCCCGTCTGAATAGCTGACATACAACCATGTTTGCGCACTGCCGCCACCCTGCGACCCCCAGTTGCCGCGCAGCCCCTCACCAGCGTTGGCCTTGGCAAGCGCTCGCACCGCAGCACGTGCCTCCGCCAGGGCGTTGATGGCGCGATCAAATGCCGCCAGCCGCGCATCAGCCCCGCCTCCCTCCTCTGCACCGCCGTCCACCTCCATGCCCTCGCCGCCGCTCGCCTCCAGTGCCACCGCCAGCTCCCGCGCCGAGTGCAGTGCAACACGCACCTGCGGTTGGCCCAAGGGGTGGAGGGGTCGATGCGCCAACACAGCGCGTTGGACGACCGGGAGTGGGGCCGGGGGGTAGGGGGACCATCCTGGGGGCAGAATTGGAAGTCTGGCGTGAGCTCGGCGAGCCCCAGCTCCCGCCTGTCCATGTGCATCACAACCTGCGGCACCACACGCCAGCGCACCCTTTCGTGTCGTACAGGGTGGCTCTGCCCACGCCATTCAAAGGAGCTGGTGGCCGCAGACTGCTGCACCTGGGCCTCAGCCTGGGGGCAAGGGAAGAGGCACCCAGCAGCAGTGATAAGCTAGCGAGACGCGATCGGGTGTTGTGAAGTCTACATGAGTGCGCGCCTGGCCAGCTAGACCCCACTGTACCCATCGCGACCGCCGCAAAGTCCCATCTTTTTTGTCCAACCGCACCCACCTGCAGCGCCGCCAGCTTGCTCTGCAGCAGGCCCCGGGCGCCGCCCTCGCCGTCGCCTTCGCCCCCGCCCAGGCCAGCCAGCAGGTCGGCCGCGTCCGACGCAGCACCCCCACCGCGCTTGATCTGGTAATCGCAGAACCTGGGCAGGGTAGCAGAGCGGCCCAGGCAGGCGGTGTGTGCTGGCAGCGTCACCCAGCCCAGGCCCCACAGGACAAGTGGGCTGGCAAGGCCCATGGGGAGCAGGCCCACCCTTGCTGCGTCCCTGTCGCTCGCCCCCCTGGCCCCTCACCGCCCCACAAACACAGCTTGCTCCCCTCCCGCGCCGGAAGCTCCTCCCAACCCCCCACACTCCCAAGCACCTGATACTGGGCTCGATCTCCTCCACCATTGCGCCACAGAGGCCCTGGCTGTCCAGGTCACCCACCTTGGCCAGCTCACCAAACAGCTTCCTGGGGTCAGCAAAGGGTTGCCGCACAGGTGGTGGGAGCATATGCCCCCGCCCTGCAATCACCTGTTGAATGTTTGTGCTGGCGTACCCTGAGACCGTCGACTCCCCCCCGCCCCTCACCACCCTCTGCCCAATGAAAGCCCTTGCCTGCACCAGTGAGCACCCACTTTGCTCGCGCGAAATGCGCCAGGGCGCGGCCCCAGTCCACCTCCTTCTCCAGCAGAACGTTGCCGGCCATCCACGCACTGTAGGCCTCAGCCTCCAGCGCACTGCGCGTGTCGCACACTTCTGGAGGGGAGAAGGGGAAGACGAAACAGTGCAGGACGGTGGCCATGGGCGTTTGCTGCGCTCATGGTGAGAAGGGGCCGGCGTAGGGGGACACCGTGATGGGGCGACACCGTCACCCACACTGTGCTACCACCGCTGTCTACCGCCGCTCCCTCGCGTGCACAGCTGAGCAGCCCCCCCCCCCAGCCTCTCCTGCATCAAAGCTGGCTGCGCACCAGCTGCAAAGCGCGCCAGCTCTGCTGCCCATGCGCTGGCCTTTGTGAGGCGCCTGATGCTGTGGTGGCGGCGGTGTTGCAGGGGCCTGTCCTCGTTGTCCTTCTTGATTTCCATGCCCTGGGCCCATGCGCGCTCCGCACTGACCAGCGGGATCAGCAGCCACCTGGGGTGCAGCAGAGAGAGGCCGACGCACATGCCTTGGCCACGCCGGCAAGTTGAGCAGCACACCGCGGCGCAGCTTGCGGCGGCTGTCCTAATTAGCCCTCCGTGGTCAAGTGAATTCAATGGAACCACCTAGCCCGTGCTTGGCGATGCGGCGAGACGCCTTGACACGGGGGTCTCGCCGCCCACTTGCTCTGGACGCACCTGGCCTCGGTGATCATGCCAATCTCAAGCTTCCTCTTCTGGTAGCGGCCCTTGCCATGCTGGAACTTCAGCGCCTTGTACAGCGACCGCAGGCGACGGGCACAGTAGATCCTGCATGTCACCACCCACGACAGGTACGCACCGCGTGAGCACAGCAACAGCAGCGACTGCGCGCCGACGCACATGGTGCCGCGTCGATCGCATTGGAGGCCGCCCTAGAGCTAGGCGCTGCTCCAAAGAATCACCTGTAGCGTCCGTAGTCGCCGTGCTTAAGACCGTTTTGCGTCTGGGCCGTGCGGATGGTCTGCAGGATGTTCAGCGAGATCTGGCTGCCTAGAGCTGCGGGCGCATTATCCACCTCCATTGACATACTCCAGGCTCCTTGCACGTGTTGGACCTCCTTGAAGTGAATGGAGGCCCGCCGAAGCGATCTGACTCGTCGATGAGATGGTGGTTGATTGCTTACGCACTATACTGTTGACAGTGTTGTGCCGTGCTGTATCGGTACGTGACGGATCAATCGACACATGACTGGCAGGACCAACCAGACTGTGCATTGCTGCATGGTCCATGACTGATGAGTATCATACGCATGCACAGCCCGGCGGAGTCGGGCTATCCATTTGTGTGCACGTGTAGCACTCGTGTTCTTATCGTAATCTCTCGACTCCGTGCGACGAGCCATGCTCGGATCATCAAAGCTACGCCCCATGCGTGCATAGTGGCACCACGATCTGGTTAAGCTTGCAATTGTGGGCGACATGCATGCGCTGAAAATTCAGGCTCGTCAGTCGCATGCGCAGGCCCGCTCACGCGGGCGTGTTGCTGCAAATGGCTCCGGGCCGGGCGGGCTGTCGCTCCCATCGCTGCCGCGCCTTTCGTTCCCCGGGCTCCCGCGGCGCCGACAGCAGCAGCAGCAGAAGCAGCAGCAGAATCAGGAGGGTTACCTTGTGATTCAGGAGCACCACCAGCAACCCCAGCCCATCGCACCAAATGAAGGCTTGCCTGCCCAGCCAGGCGCTGCTGTGCGTGCTCTGCAGCAGGCGGCTGGCGCCCTCCTGTCCGCAGCATCACCGCCCAACTCAGCGGTGCCTGCACAGCAGCAGCAGCAGCAGCAGCAGCAGCCCTTGTCACCTGTGTTGGCGCAACAGCAGGTGGCACCTGTGCAGCAGCAGCTGCAGAACCAGCAGCAGCACCAGCCGCAGGCACCAGCTCCAGCCGTGGTTGATGCATCCCAGCAGCTGGCATTTGCACGCCACCTCAGCATTGCCTCCAATGGCCTGGCCCCCCTGGCAACTCGAATGGAGTCGCTGACCTGGATGGTCTTCAAGACAGGGCAGCTGCAGGCGCGCGTGCTGCAGGGACCGGCGTCCGACCCGCGCAGCTGGCTCCACTCGCCCGAGTCCATAGCTCTGTTAGAGCAGGTAAGGCTGAGCTCTTCGAAACAAGGCTTCGTATCTCACCTGCAGGCCCACATTTTGCCATCCTCATGCGCTTGTTTACACACGGTCATGCGTTGATGTGCACCCACCCCTGTGATTTCTGCCGTTCAATTCATGGCACTGCAGGTGTACATGATAGGCCAGGCGGTGGCGGAGCTGGGGGCAGCGGCGGACGGCCTGTATTACGCGGGCGGCGTGGCAGCCAGCAACGGTCAGCGCGCTGTGGCGTCGCTGGACTTTGCGTCGCTGCTGAACCGCTACCTTGCGCAGGTGGGCGGGGAGCAGGGCTGCTTCGAGGACGGGTGCTTGGAGGCCGCAGCCATTACGCCCGATCTTGGGCCTGGGGAGGGAAAACGTTCTGCGCGTGTTTCTTCTTGGGACACCATGGTATGATAGGCCGCAAACCGCGCACCATCTCTCCGTCGGCCTGACGCGGGTGCGCCTGGGCTCCCGTCCTCCCTCCTTGTGCCCAGCACGGCGTGACCCTGCGTGAGGCGTTCGTGGCCGAGCTGCCTTACGACGGGTTGCAGGTAAGGCGCGAGCTGCAGCTGTGAATGGCAGTTTGACTGTATCTTGTACCTTGCATCAACATGTGGCACCACCGATACTCCCAAAGCTTGCAACCCCACATCTTCATTAGCGAAGGTACGGCCAGCCCCATCCAGTCACGCCCTCCCACCATCCCCATCCCGCCTGCCCTCCACCCCTGCACCCGTGAACCCAAGGCCAAGGCCCTGCACGTGGGCGCCTCATTGGAGACGCGCTGCACTGTCCACCGCCTGGCCTTTGAGCGCCTCATAGAGCGGGTGGGGGCAGAGGCAGCCCCGGCAACGAGCACGGTCGCCTGGGGCAGCGGCGTCGCCACCACCACCATCTCCAACACCACCATCAACAGCGCCCAGGGTGGCGCGGCCCAGGCCAGTGCCACGTCAGACGCCGCCGCCACGTCGACGTCGGGGCCGCAGCAGCAGGGGCCCCTTTCGATGCTGTTCATCGCGTTGATGGCAGTGGGCGGCGGCGTGGTGCGTGTGGTGGTCGCGATGGTGACGCTGGTGGGCGGCCTGCTGGCGCGTCTCTTGGCTCTCGGCGCCGTCCTTCGCGCCGTCAGGGCCGTGTCACAGGGCAGCAGCAGCAACAGCGCAGGTGGCACTTCTGCCAGTGCAACGGCTGACCGCGAGGTTGCGCAGCGCTTGCAGCCGGCGCTTGCCGCGACAACGGCGGTGCCCTTCCCTGTCGTGGCGGCTGCACCCCAGGCGCCCTCTTTGCCGGTACCGGCGTCCACAGCCTCATTGGCAGACAGCAGTAGCCGCACTGGCGGCACTGGCGGCAATGGCGGCAACGGCGGCAAGCCTGGCCCTGGCGCTGCCCTGCCTTTTGACCTGCCAGCTATCCCCAACCCATTCCAACGGAAGCGGCCCCCGCTCCCCGCAGCGGCGGACAGTGCAGCGCCGGTGTTCACCAAAAGTGTTGCCTACTTTGAGGCGCTGCGGTCCTCTGCGCAGCCAGGGCCTAGCCCCCACACACTGCCGCGTGCGTTGAGGGCCAAGTCCGGTTCAGACAGTGAGGACGAGGTCGGCTGGTGATACAGCAGATCCTGCTAGCTGCTGGCTGATGACCTGTGGTGTCTTTTTTGGGGGGGCGGGGGCCGGGGCGGTTGCAAGTCTTCGTTGCGCTGCCACCATTGTGAAGTAAAATTGAGCAGACCGTACTGTTTGCCCGTGTTGAAATGAGAAGGCGATCTGCACTACAAGCAACACAGCGTGCTGACGTCTGCAGGCAATTCCATCACCGCAGTGCATGCTTGCGAGTTTGCGTGAGAGTCATCATCTAGATCTGGATTGGTAATTGACTGGGCAACAATTGTATTGTCCATACATTGCACCTTCACGGTATGAGTGTTGCGCATATTAGGGTGTTCGCATACGTCCTTGAGTTGAGAACCTCTATTGCAGCAAGGTGCACGTGTCTGCACAGCTCTGCACTCTTAATCATTACTTTGTGAAGTGCGCAAAAGTTTAGCATTGTAAAACATCAAGCGTACAAGGACCACGAATGAGCTGTGCCCAGTTACAATACGCTTGCAAGCCTGATTTGTGGTGGGAGCCAACAGCCGTGGGGTGGATAAAACGATGCCCCTACGGGTGCAATACAGTACAAGCACAAGCCTGAGGGAAAGACTGACAGTCTCCGTCGCATGTGCAGAACAACAGACGACCATAACAAGCACCTCTGGTCCTGGGCACATCTCAATTTCACACCACCCCAATCCACTTGAGGCTTGTGTACACCACCAGTCCTGCCAGGCCCAGCCCCGCCGCCATCGGCGCCAGCACCACGCATGCCAGCAGCCCCACCAGCGGCAGCCTCCGCACCAGCCAGAACACCGCGCGCAGCGGGTGCCTGGTCAATCCCCACAGCCCCCACGCCTTCTGGAGCTGGTGCTCCACCTGAGGTGGGGCTCTGTAGCTGGGGGGCGGGGCCACCGCCGCCGGCGCCAGGCCCTTGTACTGCTCCATGTGGCGCCGCAGCAGCTTCAGGTTGCGCGTGTTGCCGCCGGTTACCTTGGGCGCGACCCAGCCACCCACCAGCGGGACGGCGCGTATGCTGTTGTCGACGACCCTGGCAGCACAGTATAGCGCGGCAGCAGAAGGCAAATCGGGGCGATGGGGACGCAAGCAACAGACCCTCGGCAGCTGCGGAGCCCCTGAGATGCAACCTAAGCCAGCGCCGACTCCCAGGCACTACAGCGCCCTGTTGTCCAGTAATTCAATTGCGCAGCTCACACGTTCACGGCCATCCTGGTGATGAGAAGGGGCTCAACCTCGTAGCGCCAGGCCGTCACCAGTGTGTAGGCACCGACTGACGCAGAAAGGGAGAGTTGCCGTGGGCGAGCACCAGGGCACGTCAGTACTGAGGATTGGGCAACGCAACGCTGTGCTGCATGACGCACGACAGCAGTGGCGCAGCCGTGTATCATCACAAGCACACCTCCTGTGCGAGCGAGGCCATTGGGCAGCGCTGCGCCGAGCTCACAAGGTGCACCCACCCGCTGCGTAGGCAAAGACGCCTGCATGCGCGAGTGTCAGGGCGTGGCGACAGTGAGATGATGGCGGCTACTAGTTGCGGCTAGGGGGCTCTTCAAGAGGCAGCCGGAATGCATGCAACCGGGCGCAATGCAGCAGTTTATACCCACTACAGAGCACTGCCTGCAACCGCTGCCAGCGAATGACAAGCAAACGCACCAACGAAAGGCAGGCGCCCCAGGGCAGTGTTCAGCCCCAGCTTCAGGGGCGTCCCGGGCACGGCCAGGTGCGCGTGCAGCGCGCGCTCGACCGCCTCGAGCTGCTCCAGCGCCCGGTGATGCTGCCGCACCGCTGACTCAGCGCCATTGGCGGGGCGCGCATCGAGTGTCGCCTCTTTCGGGCCATCCCGCGGCGCTGCACCAGCTGAGGCCATCTGCGACTGGCGCGCTGCAGGAGGGCCGCGGTGGTTGCCGCCGGGCGCTGCAGGAGTAGGCATTCGTGCCTGGAAAGCACGGCCCTTTGGTAGTGAGGAGGGGGGCGCGCGCCGCATGAGGGCCCGCGCCGTCGGCACAGCGACGAGGACAGCACAAAGAAGGGCCATCCTTAGGCTGGAGGGAGAAGTGGAGCGCAGAGCCCTTGGCAGCCTGGAGAATGAGCAACAGCGCTGCCTGGAGGGCGGCAGTCACGACGGGCGCGTGACGGCAAGTGATGTCATTGCCGATGGCATTAGCACCTGACAAGAGCGCAAGGAGGACTAGGTGAGACTGGCAGCTTACAGCGTTGGTGAGTCGTGGCAAGTGGCAAGCTCAAGAGATCAGCGCAAAAAGTTGAGCATCCGGTTTCGTTCGGCCTTGGCGGAACCCGAGCAGCAGTAAGCAGTGTGTTTGATTCAAATCAATTTCCCATTTTGATACTTGCGTGCTGTGTCAGCGAATCGCTGCCACCTCCTCATACTCATGCACGCTCAGCCAGGCCGCAGAGTGCTGATCGCACCCACCGACCCGCCGCGCCCACACTCGCACAGTGGCAACCCGCGCGCTCTCGTGGCCGGCAATCATCACTTTTGGCCTGACATGGGGCACCTTCCTTGCAGGCATCATATGCCTGCAGGTGCAAAGTTGCCTCTTCGGCTGCCGGGGTATTGTCATGCTGGGGGCGGTTCAGCGCAAGTGATGCTCTGATGCTCTGGGCGGGTTGCCATGGCGGCCGTGCTTGGCACAACTAACCAGCCGCATTCAACTGCAGATCATCTGCAGCGACGGCACAACTGGCCAGGGCGACGCCCAGGTGCCGTACGGCTCCGTGCCTGACAACCTCAACACGATGGGCACCACAGGCGTCTGGGGTGAGCGGGCTTGTGCGGCTACTGTACCCCCGGATCGCTACAGTCGACTCCCAGGCCATTGATCAGCCACACTAACGCCTGAACCACCTCTTGGTCACAGGCTGGAGTGGGCGCGTCCTGGCGTGCAACCGGCTGTTTCGATTTTACTGGTGAGTGCGCCCTTCAGGAGGCTCCTATGCCCCGGCTCTCCACATCGCCCTGCCCTCCCCCCCCCTCGCACCTTACCCACAGGAGCAAAAACAGATTTCATGCAAAAAACTAATCCATCCCCCTTCGGCCTGTGACGCACTGCTCCCAGGTTCATGGTTGCATTTGGTTTCGTGACGCTGCTGGGGATTGCTGTCACGGCAGTCCCCCGCCACGGAATTTCTTGCAGCCGGCCCTTCTGGGTCGGAATGTTCACAATCAACGCGTTGCTCTTCATGATTGCGTCAGAGGCCATGCTCGCAGCGTGAGTCAGGGACAACCTGTGCACACTCGCACCTGCGCTTGCAGTGTTGATGCTTGGGTTGAGTGGTGGATGGTTGGGTGGAATTGGACACAGCAGCAGCACAATGCATGGGCAAGGCTGTGGTGTGGTGAACCAGCCTGCAGGGTGTCAGCAATGAGGCTGGGTTCCTGCACGGCTCCAGAAACTGCGATGTTGCGCATGCATGCAGGCTTTTGCGCTCGTTCGGGTTGCTCGCTCTCCTTACATACTGAAAAGCACTCCCGCACGTCGGTGGCCTGATGTGCTCCTGTTAAGGTTTGACATCAATGCCCTCTGTGGGACCGCTGGCCTGGTGCGGAGCGCGCAACCAATGCGCAGCTTTGTTGAATATAGCGCATGCATTAAAATTGAGAGCTGTGATCCCAACGCCGCGCCTGCACGCGCTTCACTGAGGGTGTTGCGGCAGTGAGTGCATGGCTGCCCCAACTTAGCGTGCACACCTGTTCATGATCAGTGGAGAAAGGTGTCGCCCTGCCTCTTTGGCGATAAGGCTGAAACCCCTGCCTTCTTTATGCATTGAACCATTGGGTGCGTCCCGCTGCATCCCCGCAGAAGGTTGCTTCGGCGGGCGCCATCACGTCAGTAGCGGCATCCATTCTCCTCCTGCTTGTCATCGGCACAGATTGGGAGGGGCGTTGGCCCAGCAAGCACGGTGTGCAGCTGGACATGGCCCCAATCCTGCACACCCTTCTTTTAACGCATCGCCTTGGCGATCCTCGACGACCAGGCCTGCGCCACATGCCTCTTGCCCCTTGACCTTTGCGTTCATGCATGCCAGCTCATACGTACGCAGCGTGGATGGACGAAGAATGGGCACAACACAAACCAGCCGCACCTCCCCTGGTGCCCAACTACCGCCTGCCCCCCACTCACCCTAAAAAGGTCGTGAGCCCCGCCCGCACCCTGCCTACCACCATGATGTCGGCGCCCCGGCCGGCGAGGCCCTCGCCACCAGGTAATGCCAGAGCCCGCAGGGGACGCGTAGCTGCCCTGCCGCCCTGCGCAACCAGGCCGGCATGGCCGCCCACCTCTGAATGTGTGGCGCTGTGATCATGCAGGGCGATGTGCATGATTGTAGGATGGTGCTGGATGTGGGGGTGGTGCATATCCCAGCCTGACATGGAATTGGTCCGTGGATGGCGAGGTTGCTGACAACTTGCTGGCGCCCCATGGCCCAGTGTCGTCCGCACATCACCTGCCCCGTTCAATATGTTGACATGACCACATAAGTTGTGTGACTTACAGAGCATGATTTGGTTTGTTTGCTGGCGGTCGCGGCAAAGTGGTAACAGTAACGACAAGAAGGGGGTTGGTGCTCAAGGGGCGGGCAGGAGGCGAGGAGTCTGTACGGCTGTGAGCCACACCAGTTGGGGTTATTGCACCCTCAGATGTGGTCACTGTGCACACACCTGGCTTCTTCTATACATCAAACGGGGCGTGCCAGCATGCGGCTGCCGCGTAATCCTGCGCGCCTGCTGGGCTGCAGTGAAACTGGAAACTGCTCCGCCATGTGGCGCGCACCGCGAGCGGTGACTGAGCATCCGACGTTGCACTAGGCCCCGTGCCATGCCCTCCTTTGCCCATAAACTTGACTTCTGACTTTTCAGCAGTTGAGATGTTGCTACGACCAGCCTGATAAGTTATGCATTTGCCCGCTGTGAGCGGGCGCGTGCTGCGGCAGCGGGCCTGGACGGCGCGATCGCCGTGCAGCCACACGGGCCGCTCGTTCCCGTCGCTGGCGCGGTCTGTAAGCCGATGCTTCGATGGGCAGGGCGAGCCTTCTTCGTGGCTGCTGCCACGGCCAAGCAGAGGGCGCGCACGGAGAAGGGCAGTGTCCAGCAAGCACGAGTGGCAAGAGCTTGCCTCTGTAGCTAGGACGGACGTGGAAGAGGAGTCTGACCTGCACAGGTGCACCTGCGATGGCGGGCTTCAGACGTCATGCTGCATGCCCGCGCAGCCCGTGCCTCACCCTGTCGGGTATCTGCACTGAGCCAGGCGGTGCACTTGCAGTTGTATGGCACGCCAGGGCCACGCGGCGACGCTGCTGGCCCAAAGCATGGTGCAGCGGATCACGCAGTGAGCGCGCGCCCGGGCGGCTGCGCGTCGTCCGCCAGGCGACCTCCCTCCCCTTACCCCTTGCTGCCACGCGCCTCCTCAAATCTGCATCACCAGGCTCTTGCGCGAGTCGCGGCAGCGGTTGACAATCCCGGAGGCGGACGAGGAGCGGTGGCCGGGCGCGTACGCCACTGCAGAGACGGTGCACGAGGCGCCCAGCACGAGCGGGCGCGACCTGGGTTGCCCTGTCTTTGTGATGCTGCCGCTAGACACTGTCTGGGTGGTGGAGCGCGACGGCAAGCGGGTGAGCGCTCCAGGCACAAGATCTTGGCCCAACACCCGAGGCTCCTGCGTGTCCTCTTGACCGGGCGTGGTGGCACAGCTGCGGGGTGGCGCCGCGCGGGCGCTGAAGCAGCGGGCTGGCCGCCTGGTTCCGTGCGCAGCCGCCGCGCTCTCGCATGGCGTTTATGGCCTACCGCATGTGCAAGGGAAGGGCGGTGGGGCTTGTGGCCGTCATTCACCCGTCCATGCGCTCTTCAGCTCGCTGCATGTGCCTGCTCGTGAGGCCCGAGGCACGATTCGATGCCGCTGGCACACTTTGGAGCCACAGACCCTGCCCGCCCCCGCATGCTTTATGCCCGATTCATGACTTTAGTGCTTTTGCGTTGCCCGCAGGTGGCAATTCTGAAGCGCGAGAAGGCTCTGGAGATTGCGCTGCACACGCTGCGCAGCGCCGGGGTGGAGGGCGTGATGGTGGACGTGTGGTGGGGCATCTGCGAGCGCGGAGGCCCACGGGTGTACGACTTCAGCGCCTACAAGCGGCTCTTCCACAAGTGCGCAGCGGCGGGGCTACGTGTGCAGGTGAGGCGGCGGTGCCGGAGGGGTGCCGGAGGGGTGCCGGAGGGTTTTAACAGGGCCGGGCAGGGATGTTGGTGGTTGTGGGGGTTGGGATTTGCCTTGAGCCCAACGCGTAATCGGAGTTGAGAGGGAAGTACGGACGTGATGGGATGTGTTTGTAGCGAACTTGCCGCACTACTCCCTATGGTCCTGCAGGAGCGAGTCTGGCTGCGTCCAGCTGCTGTGTGCCGTGTGCGAAGCGTGCGCGCCGTGCTGTGCCCACCCACCCGCTCCCCCTTTGCGCTGTTGACAGGCGGTGATGTCGTTCCACGCGGCGGGCGGCAATGTGGGTGACACCTGCAAGATCCCCCTGCCCAAGTGGGTGGTGGACATAGGGGAGCGCAACCCCGACATATTCTACACAGACAAGCAGATGCACAGGTTGGCTGGGGGGTCAGGGATCCCGGCAGTTCGGGGAGGCAAGGGCGCATGCAGCATCCGGCACGTTGCTGCCACCCCGGCGGGCGGCTGGTCACCCTGCTGCCACGCAGGTGTATCCGTGCCCGGCCAAGCCTCGTTTGAAGCCCGGCGGTAGCGTAACCACACTCACCTGACCCCAACTGTGCAGGAACAAGGAGTGCCTGTCCCTAGGGTGTGACGAGGTTCCGCTGTTCTGGGGCCGCACCCCGGTGGACATGTACCGCGACTTTGTGGACGCCTTTGCTGACACCTTTGACTACCTGTTCGGTGCGCCGGCTTTGGGGTGACAGGGAGGGCGGCGGACACCACGCACTGTTCAGGGTTGGTGACCAGGTGCAGGGGCGCCGTCAGCTGTTGCTGTGGAGTCGGTGAGGCCTGCCCCGCTTGTTTGTGAGGCATCAGACTTGACTTGCCCCCTTGCAACACCCACCCTCATGCACATCCCAACACACCCCCTCCCCCCAGGCACTGTTATCACGGAGGTCACCGTGGGCATGGGCCCCGCGGGGGAGCTGCGCTACCCGTCCTACCCCGAGGGTGACGGGCGGTGGCGCTTCCCCGGGGTGGGGGAGTACCAGTGCTACGACAAGTACATGCTGGTGGGTGTTTGTTTTTTGGGGGGGGGGGGGCTGGTTGCGTGTGGGTGTGGGTGTGCGTGCGTGTGCATGGCGTGGCATGGAAGGGCGCGCAGGAGTTTGACTGCTCCGTGCACCTCATGCGCAGGATGCCTGGACCGGTTTTGGGGCCCGCCCGTGGGCTCGTGGCCCGATGCCTGAGCTCAGGTGCACACCTTTGTCACCCACAAATTCTGTCTCTCACCCGTTGTACCTCGGGCGTACTCCTCTGTATCCTGACCAAAACGCCACCAGGGTGACCTGCGGCGGGCAGCACACATTGCGGGGCGGCCAGAGTGGGGCCATGGCGGCCCCCATGACGCTGGCCACTACAACAGCAAGAGCTGGGAGACGGGATTCTTCGTCAGCCAGGTGCGCACTGCGGGCGGTCTGGGAGGCTGGTGGCCATATCTTGGCCCTGCTTTCAGGCAGCATCCTGCACAGCAGCTGAATTGCCCCTGGATGCGGTGGCCCCACAAACCGCACACCAACGCACCCCCCAGGGCGGCAACTGGCAGACCGAGTATGGCCATTTCTATCTGTCGTGGTACAGCGGCCACCTGGTGGCGCACGCGGACAGGATACTGGGGGCGGCGGCGGCAGCGCTCTCAAAGCCGGGGCGGCCGCGCCTTCTGCGGAGCGCGATTGAGGTGAGGGGTGGAGGGGGAGTGTGCAGAACCTGAGCAGGGATGACGGCTGGGGGAGGTGTTTGAGTGCATGGCAGCCTGCTGGCGCATAGTCAGGTGAAGTCATGCCGTTCAACGCAACCAGTCCCATAACTTGGACCGTTGGCAGTTTCGATGTGTCACGTCCCGCCTTCGCCTTCCCATTCCTCCACCAGCCTCACTGCCTCCTGGACCCCACATCCCTGCCCCCCCCTCCCCGCGTCCCCCCCCCCAGCTTGATGACGGCCACGTGGTGTACGAGTTTGAGCCGGCTGTGAAGCTGGGGGCCAAGCTGGCCGGGGTGCACTGGTGGTTCAAGAGCCGCGCCCACGCGGCGGAGCTCACGGCCGGCTACTACAACACGCGCGACCGCGACGGGTAGGTTGGGTCAGGCCAAGGGGTCCCTGGTTGGCACATGCTTTTGTCGACGATGTCTAGGGACGCGGTGTGCCCACATGGCTACCTTGATCGCACCAGACAGAAAGCCACATGCATCTCTTTCATCAGGCTGCATTGGCTTTTTATACTTTCAACTTTGCAAGCATTGGCTTTTTATACTTTCAACTTTGCAAGCTTCAGTCGTCTTCAGACGGACTTGTATGTTGAAAGCATTAGGTCCAGCCCCTGCTTGTGTGGTAACTCGCCTTGATGAGTTTCGCTCCTCCGAAAGTCACTCTCCAACCTGTCCCCTCTACACCCTCCTCCACCCCCCCAGCTACGCGCCCATCATGCGCACGCTGTCCAAGTACAACGCGCGGCTGTCGTTCACCTGCGTGGAGATGCGCGACTGCGAGCACCCGCCAGAGGGGCGCTGCAGCCCGCAGGGGCTGCTGCAGCAGGTGCAGCCGGGGGCGCGGGCTATGGACTGGGGCTGGTTGGTGGGCATTCTTCATACGCGTGCGCAAAGACCGCTGTGCGCCATGAGTCAGTCGTTGCTGTTGGCTGCTCTGCTGCTCTGCTGCAAGCAGTGGAGACAGCCTGCCTGCTTGTACGCCCGCCTTGGTTGAAGCCTGGGACCCCTGCAGGTGGCTGCCGCAGCCTGGCAGGGGTGCAACCCCGCCTGAGCCCGCTTTCACTACCCAACTTACACCTCCCTTGCATGGCACGTCCAACACACTTGACTGCCCCCCCCCCCAAACAGGTCCTGGAGTGTGCGGAGGCTCACGGCGTCCCCCTGGCGGGGGAGAACGCGCTGCAGCGCTACGATGAGCACGCCTTTGACCGCATCGCGGAGTCGGCCTTTGGCAAGACGGCGCGCAGCGGGCGGCTGGAGCAGCTGACGTTCCTGCGGATGGGGGACCTCATGTTTGACAACTGGGAGGCCTTCTGCGCCTTCCTGCGGCGCATGAGGGGGCAGCAGGGGTGAGGGGTGCCCGCGCGCACCGCGCCAAGACCGCGGCGATGGCGCCTGCCCTGGCCAGTTTTCCAATTGACACACCTTCGGTCTTGAGGGCACGCAAGGGCGCGGGCACGTGAGCGTGGGGACGCATATGCAGCGCTCAAGGGATGTGCGCCACACAGGGCCCCCCCTTGAGCTGCTGCCCAATCCCTGGCACGGCACGCCCTCCACGTGTTGCCTCGCCCCGCCGCCGCCGCGCCGCGGCCCGCGCCCAGCTTTGCCGCTCACAGGCCAGGGCGAGCGCCTGCGTTCGCGCCTGCTTCACCAGCCCAGGCTCTGCCTCCACCCCCGCCCTTACAGCAGCTGCGCCGCAGCCATACCCCACCTGGTGCCTCCAAGCTGCGGCCCTTGCGCGCTGCTTTGCTCCCACGCGGCCGCCAAACGCCGATTTTCGCGTGGAGCCCGGGGCGCGCGCCGCAGTGGCCCCGCCCCGGCCGTCCAACCGCCAGTTTTGAGAGGGGGTTGTGTGGTTGTTTGCGCGTCGCCCGCCCGCATTTGGCGGGAGAGGGCCGTGGTACAAATCTTCGTTTTTCCCTGGTTACGTTTTGTGCTGCGGCAGGGCGCGGTGGCGCAGCGCCCGCGGCCGCAACCAACGCATGCGTGATTGTTCAGGTGGGCCTTTGCGCGAACAGCCAGCGCGACCGCGCCGCCCGCGGGATCGGCTGACGCGCACGGCAGTGGTGCCACGCACCGCTCATTGCCATCAAATTTTGCGAGGAGGGTCTCTGGCCACTCTGGGGGAGGGTCGTCACATGGGCAGGGGCAGGCGATATCTCGCGCGAGCCGGCCGCAGGGCCAAGCCATCCCGCCCGCTCCTAGCAGCCTGGCCGGCGCCCGTCGCGCATGGTTTTGAGCTTAATTGAAGCGAGTCGAGCACGCGGCGTGACGCGGCCAACCTCACTTGCGAGCGTCCAGCTCAGCAAGTGCACCCCCGCACTGCCATGCTCCTCAAGAGCCGTCTGCCAGCTGCCTGGGCATGCCCCCCCCCCCTAAAACCCCGCATAACGTCCCACCCCTTCCTCCTTGTCGCTGGCCCTCTGAGGAACCCGCTGTATCACCACCACACAGCTGATCGCTTGGGGCCGCTGCCTTGGCAGCGCCCGCAGCTGATCTGTGTTTGACGTCCATGGCGCGTCGCGTTTGGCCGCACTCTGGGTGCGCCCTCAACACTGTCACTGTCACTGGCTACCCAATCCCCACGCGCGCGCGCGTGCGTGCGCAGCGACACTGCTTGGCCGTGTGCAACGGCGCAGGTGACACGCAGCCTTCAGCACATGCTTGCGCTGGGCGCGGCCGCCTCCAACTTGGTAATCCTCAAGCTCAGGTGTTGTGCCTGCTGGGCGCCTTGATTACGGAGG